TCAAATTGAGGAGAGAAGACAGCTGATCTGTTTCTTGGCCTCCTTTTTTTTTTTTTTTTTTTTTTTTACTGTTGGTGTTCATTCAGTGTAAGGACTGTGATTTGATCAAAGAGAAGTGTATGACAGAGCAACAGAATATGTTTGCTGAATTCATGTAAATAAAAGGTTTCATTTTGTAGGTCTAATGTTGTCGGTAAACATCTTATGGCACTGAAGAATGGGTTAGTAAAGAACGATCTACATATTTTTATTCAGTACCTTCATATGAAATTGGGAACCAAGTATCTGTAGCTGCCACTGTATTTGTTTCCATGTTCTTGGATGTCATTGTATTTCTTTTCAAATCATCACTGGACTGTTTTCTCCATGTGACAATTCTGTGTGACCTGTTTGTACATATGCCTTGATCTTCTTATTAAGAATGGGTTCTTGTATTTGCAACAAGTTCATATCTGATTTCTCCTTCTCCTACTCCTGCTCTGGCTTGATGAGATGAGGAAGGAAACAGATGGAGACCCGACTGATCCACCCCGTTGTGGTGGGCAGAAGCCTACCAAATCAGGCTTGATAAGTGTATTAAACACAAACATTTATTGCCCAGTGTATTTTCTGGAATGTCAAATTTTATGAATGAGAGCAAATCAAAATACCATCTTAAAACTGTACTGACTTTCCTTTTTACCATCTGGCATAAAAGGGGAAGCCGCAAACAATGGCAGCCCCGCCCTTTTGTCCTCCTGCTTTCTCATTTCTTGTCTGCATAATATGGAGCTAAAATAATTATAATTGCTTTTTTTTTTTTTTTTTTTTTAGCTTTTCTTGTCAAAAGTGTCCTCTTTTTGCCATCTGTTCCACAGCCTTGCAGCCACCCTAAACCTGCACTTTTTGATATCTGTGATGACTTAGAATGTGATGAACATATTGTAGCAAAGGCCATTTCTTTAGCTTTAGCTAAAAGTAAAAATAAATCCTGGAAATGGAAACAGAGCTTTTTCATTTGTTGGAATAAGGACTTTCTTTAGTGTGGTTTCCTATAGAAAGGAAGCTTATGGGATTGAGTTGTTCGTCCATCTGCTTTTCAGTTCATCCTTAATAACTTTGGAGCGATTTCATCCAGAGTTGACAGGGAATAAAAGTCTTGAAGGTAATTGATTTCCTACAAGAAAACTGGTGGCTGGGTGGAGGAGTGGGACAAAAATAGGTGTCCCCACTGCCTGCAGCATAAGCTTAACAATATAATCTGTTCTTAGGCTTTTGCTAGCCAAGTTGCAAGTGCGTGCTGGCTGCGGTGCTACAGTAAGCTCAGAGTTTCCAGAGCGTGTTACTGAGCCTTGCTTAGGCAGAAGGTGAGGGGCCGTGAAGGGGAGGCAAGGACATGGAAAGTGGCTGGGCGATGGGAAATATTATGGAAAGGATGAGATCAATGGGCACTGGGGCTGTTGGAGCCACTGGTAGTTTTATGGCTGAAGGACCAACTTGCCTTTCAGTTTCGTACAGTACCACGCTTTGTTGATCACTGCCTCCTCAGAGCTTTGTGTGTCGAGCGTGCATCTGCAGCATTTGCCCAGCCGTGAAACAACCAGAATATAAGAAAGTACCTGCATGGTGCTCACAGAAACTCAGCACTCAGAGTTGGGTCTGGGCAGTTACTTTGGCAAACTGTTTCATTCACTTGAAATGCTGTTTTGAGCTGGACAGAACAATCTGTGAATTTAGATGGAATTAAGTCAGTAGTTACAGCTGGAAAAAATGGAGGAGAATGCTGGAAAATACATTCCCATGCTAAAATATTTTGCCTTTCCAGGACTAAGTCATTAGTTAAATGAGCACTTTTAACAAAATCTGGATTGAAAGTGTAGGGAGGTGATTTCTACAATGGCGCCGTATTTGTCTGGAGTATAGGAGCTCTGGATTTGCAGGAATTTGCCTGTGTACACCCAAAATCACCACGTGTATCACTAGCAAAATCCCTTCCTTTTCTGCTATCTGACAGAAGGAGGGGGTGAGCTTTGCAGGCACTGGACTGGACTTTCACATACATGCATTTGGTAAAATATTCATATTCAGTGCATCTGTGGTGACTGTGGGAAGGGGAAGGAAGCAGCACCTGGAACTATTCATTGTCTGATTCTGCTTTTCGTTGGGTTCCTTTGTCCTGGGCAAGAGCTGGAGATCCTGAGCGTACTTGCAGTCATGAGTCAGTGACAACCTCTTGCTATTATTGTAAATAGCAACATGAACACTGCTCTTGCATGCGTTTTTTCACGGGCTTTGTCTTTCTCTCCCGACTGCTTCAGCCAAGGAATTCACAGAGCTTCTGAGTCAGCAATCAGCTGCCTCGAGACAAAACATGCAGGATACTGCAGGCTTGCAGAAGAGCCAGCAGGGCATACAGATCCCCTGGAAACCTGGCAAATAATTCCTGCCTGCCCTTGCTTTGCCTCCTGTAATTTCCATGCTCTCTAACATGTTGCTCATAGGTTCCAAGGATTTGGGTGTTTACGTCAGGAATGCGGCGTTTTGCGGAGTGAGTAATTGCAGTGACTGAAGCCTCTGTGCTTCACCTGTGGGCATAACTGACTTCACAGCCGGCGTGAAATGGGATGCAGGCAGAACAGGGAAATTAAGGTGCCGCTCTGGTTGCACAGAACAAAATGACCTGCTTTGGCAGGTTTGTCTCCTGGCTGGGCGAGCCTTGGGCATGGAGCTCTCGGGCTGGATTGTAACTTGGAGGCCTCCCTGTGCAGCCAGGATCAGCTTCACTCTGCTGAAATACAGCAGGAGCAAGAGCAAGAAGTGAAACCAAAGCTGTCGTCACACCTGGAGGTCCCAGGAATGGACTGTGGCCCAACAGGCTGAAATTGCCACTCCGCTGAATTTAGGTCATGTAACTCCTGTTGCTTATTCTTGGGAAGCATTGTGTCAGGCATCTGAAGCGCTGGTGGAAAGTGAGTGTTTGGGTGGCAGAGTGCAAGAGACGGGAAATACAACACAAAATAGTAGTCAATGTGAAACGTGGTGCTGGTGGTAACTGAGGCATATGGCTTTAGATTGTGGGTATCTTGTTACATCTCCGTTACCAGATGCACTTGAATTACTCCTTCAACATAAGAGGAGATTTGTTGGTGCTCTTCATAACATTTTTGAGAACTGAAGAGGAGATGCAGGCTTAAAGCACAGTGTCTTAGAGGACTGGAGCAGTTGCCCTGAGGTGCAAGCCTGGAGTACATTTCAGGCTTCACAACAGTGAAGATCAAAAAGAAGGAAAGGATTTCGTTCCATAACGCTTAGTGAGCAGTGCTGATGGGGACATGACTTCAGTATCAGGCAGTCAGAGAAACAGCTTTGTTTGTACCGAGTCCTCTAGGGCAGTTGACCTAATAAAATCAGAATCACTTTCTCTGGTATAACCCATTGTTATCCTGTGACTTTTGCAGGAATTTTTATTTTTAATAATGAACAGTTTGGGGATGTTTGTAAAGGCTTCCAGGTCTCCTTTGCTATTTCTAAACTGAAGCAATAAATACCGTGTTAGCTTGGAAAACAGGAGTGCCCACATAAACTGCTGCAGAGCTGACAAACCAGAGGGGAAGAGACATGAGCTGTACTGTTTGACTTGGCTTCCTGTCTGCTGGAAGCAGGAAAAGAGCTGGTGAGAATCTAAAAGGTTTTATCCAAGTTCACATATTTCCTTTTTCACCTTAATACCCTTTGAAAAAAAAAGAAAAAACAAAAAAAAAAAGGAGAAAAAGCACCTCAGAAATGTTTTCACATTCATAGTTCCAGCATATGTTCCCATGCTGCCCTCCCCTATCTGAAGATTAAACAGCAGTATTCTTTCTTAGAGGGCAGAGTAATTGTTTATATCTTAGATGCATGTATTTTTATATAAAAGGAAGAAAAAACTTTATTATATATAAAAGAAAGAGAGAGAAAAAAAGCTGTTCTTTAAACAAAATCTGCTGTTTGTGATCCAAACAATTCTGTACTTCTGAGAGATCCCACAAAAGCAACTAAGCGTAGCAGACCTGTTAGCATACTTCATCTGCTGAGGATACCAGCTACCACCTGAAACATGGTAGGGATCTGCATATCAAAAGAAGTTGAAAACCACAAAACTGAGGAAATAGTCTGAGAATTCCCCACAGAAAATGCAGCAGGTAGTTTGCTTTTAGACTGCTTGCTTACTGAGATGGGAATATACCCACAGACTCTAAGTGAGGCAGGTGTTTATACTGCTTGATGCAATGCAGGTGGGCATTTTTTTTCAGTCTTGACATCTTTTCTTAAGCGTTTGATTGCTGTTAGGTCTAACTTCTTTCTAGGATTGCAGCAGCCATCATTGTATTTGTCATGTCAGTGTACAAAAACACTGCAAGCACTCCCAAACAGAAATATCAGTTTGCGATATGCCATTCCGTTTCCTCTTCTTTTTATCATGGGTAAGGACACTGTTGTTTTTAAAGGAGAGGACCAAACCTTCTTTTACTGATGGAAATCTAACTCCTAAAATACTTGGGGGTAGTCGTGTTTTCAAGAGCAGCATGTACCCATTGCTGTGGTATTAACACAGTGATCTTGTTATCACTGCCACTGCTACATTAGTAAGTCTCTAGCTCTTGTTTCAAAACTTCTGTCTGCTTCCAAAGATATGTAACATCTGCCTGTTGACTTGTAACTTCTCTGCTGTTTATATGAAGCAAGAGCTTTGATAATACTATTTAGGTGTACTGGCTCAGGTAAAGTGTTCGGTAATTTAACAGAGAAGAGATGTGTCACTGCCAGAAGAGAGCCTTGGTGGGCTTTGGAAGGCCATGCTTCAGTCAGCTCAGGCAAGACTCCTTGGGGTATTATTGATCTGTTGACTCATTTAGGACTTCCTTCACTAGGTACTGAGAATCTGGGCTCTTAGGTTAGTAGGCACAGACATCATTTTGGAAAGAAAAAAAAAAAAAAGCAAAGAGCAAACTCAGTTACATTTTCTTCTTTTTATTTCACAGGTTGATAATGCTCGTAAGCCAGAGGTGAAAGTGTCTCAGCAGAGCAACACTGGGAAATCTGGCAGACTGGAAGAGAACAGCTGCCCCCCAGGGCAGCTGCCACGTGTGAAGCATGGAGGAAAGTAAGAACGAGAAGGTGAACCAGGCTCATGTTCTCTTCGACAGATTTGTCCAGGCTTCAACATGCAAGGGGACTCTCAAGGCTTTCCAGGAGCTCTGTGACTACCTAGAACTAAAGCCCAAGGACTATCGTTCTTTCTATCACAAACTCAAGTCCAAGCTAAATTACTGGAAAGCCAAAGCCTTGTGGGCCAAATTGGATAAGAGGGGCAGCCATAAGGACTATAAGAAGGGGAAAGCATGCGCCAACACAAAGGTAAGGAAAGTGATCCTCTGTGGAGATGTATTCATGGGAGTCAAAATGTGTTTCATGTTTTTTGTGGCATCAATACTATAAGAGAGATTGAGTTATAAAATCTTCCTTTGTAGGCTTGTATCTTGGTAGTTGTTTTTTGTTTGTTTGTTTTTGTTTGCCTGTTTTTTAAACTAGATAATAACTGGGTTGTGAAATTTTCTGTTGGGGTTTAGATACAAAATACATATGTCTGGATTTTTTTGAAGTGCATCCCTTTTAATTTCAACAAGTCTCATGTCTCTTGATAGAGACATGCCTGCCAAATTGGCAAAATGTTCAATTTAGCATGATTTAGGGAGCAATGGCTTGAATTTCAGAGAAAAAAACAAAACCACAACGTGGAAACCATACCGATTCCTTTTAAAAGATTGGTATGTGTGGTATTTACTGTAAGGTATTTCTGCTTTTGTGCACCTCTTCCAATTTATTTTACCTCAATTGCGGTGAGCTGGTGTTTGTGCTTCATACACCCTTGTTTGATGCTACAGTCTGAGCTTCCTTATTTTGTTACTGATAGACATTTCTTCATATCATTAAAAATGTTTATGGAGTAAGTTATTTTTGCAAGTAATCATACACTTCTTCTTTAAAAAAAGGGAAGATAGTGTGGAATACAATAAAATTAGAACAGGATTCTGTCCTCCTTCATTGAAGTTAATATACAAGAGAAAGAAAAGCATCTATTAACTTTTTTGGAAAAAGAGATATCTTAATTGATAGGAGAAATGAATGACTAATTCACTTAGTAGAGTACTGAGGGGGAAATAATCCTGTTCATGATATAGTCAGTTGTTTCAGATATGAGGACTGACGTTTGATTTCCAACTAGATATTAGAAAGTTATTACCTTGATTGTTTCGCTTTCCATTTACCATTTTCATATAGATGGTGAAATTTATAATTAAGTGCTAAACTAACACTTGTATAAATCACTGATGGACCAAGATCCATTTGTCCTAGCTGTTGTGGAAATAAAAAAAGTTTATAATTGTTACTTCAGATTATAGGTAGCAGATGCATATAGATCAACTTGGAAAACAATGAAACAATCAGGTGGTGTTGGTCATCATTCACACTGAGCTGGTTCCTTCTAGAGGAAGGGGAGGGCAAGGAGAAGAGAGAAAGCAAAGGAGAACAACGAGGGGAGGCAGGTCATATTTGCCAGTGTTTCTGAGAAGCTTTTGGTGAGATGCTCAGTAGAAATGCAGGTAAAAAGGTTGGCACCTGTCTGCCCCAACCCAGAAATATATAGGATGGTGAAGCTGGGATTCAAGTCATTTTGAGTAGTGAAATGAGGTAGCTGAGGTGAAACTTAGTTTAAAATAACATTTTATTTGTTAGTACATCTGAAAGTTAATACATACCTGTGATGATAAATTCTTTTTGTATGGCATTAAACATAAACTTTGTTGAATATTTTTATATAAAGAAATGATGTGTGTGTATTATTTTTATATTTTTCATATGTATTTCTGTTAATGACTTGTTTCCTACCCTAGTGGCATCTGCCATTAAAAGTTTGTATGTAATTCCTAAGAGATAATCACAACTGTTCAAAGTAGAAGCATTCTGGGAACTGAATCATGTCTGATGTGATGTCTCCTACTTCACTTAGTTTTATTTTCCAAATTTTTAATGTAATTTACAAACCACTAATTAAAAATACAGAAACATAAGTGGTCGTGTGGAAATGATAGAATTTTAAACAAAGCTTAAGATTTTACCCATGTTATTAGCACAGATACCGATCATTTCTTTAGTAAAATTGGCTCCTGTGTATTTCAACATATACCAGTTTTGAAGATCTCCTCCTCTGCAGCTTAGTTCCCACTTGCCTATTTATAAGGTGTGCCATGACCAGAGTTGGGCACTTTGTGCATCACGTGGCTGGTGTCCCGGTTAACCAGAATTCAGATAACTGGGGGTATAGTTCATGAAGGCAAGATTTGCATGTGATGCTTTGTTCAAGTGTAAATATTTGCAAACATTTACACTAGTCCCTTTATTCGTTTAGCCTGAGCACCTCAAAAGAGAACAGGAAGATGATTCTCTGTTCATGGACTTCTTTCTCTTTGTTGGTTATGCAGAGAATACAGAATTTCAGTTTGCCTTTTATGTTATATTACCATGGTGTTGTTACAGGCAACTAAATATAATTTATCTTGAAGGATCTTGAGCAGGATGTGTTTGTGAAGGGTGAGATTGCTTTAGCACTCCACAACAGTTGTTTGGAGTCATCGTGGGGAAAGGGAAGGAGGAGCCACAAGAACTGCCTTCATTGACCTGGCTGTGCTTGTGCTTGTGCTTACTGCTGCCTGTGAAAGAACCACAACTTAGGTTTCTGTGAGGGATCAGAAACTGGAAGAGTCACAAGAGGTGGAAAAGGGAACAGAATATTTTCTTCTGATTTTAATCGGCCCTAAAACTTGCTGTGTTTTGTTACAGCATTTTTTAGAACAAGGTGGCAAACTTGGCCATAAATGGCTTTGCTGAGTATCATGTATTTTGCATCCACAACATCTAGAGTCCTAAACATAAACTGGATATTAACCACTTCCTTGCGTGGGGGAAAAAAAAAAAACTTGTAGGAAAAAATGGTCTATACATTTCCTGTGACAAAATTACAGGTAATGAGTTTTTAATTTGATTACGTAGACCTGAGCTTGAATAGCCTGATTTTAGTATAATTCATTTTGTGTTGTGTTCTCCATTGTAACTATTTTATACTGGGCAAGTTATCAAAGAGTAGAATTCGCCCATCTCAGTGTGGTCGTGTTGTTTATTGAATGCAATCTCTTTGAAGGTTTTAGTTGTTTGAGCCAAATTATTACATGGTTAAATATGACACACTCAGCTAATTTTCTTACAAGTTTCAAAAACAAAATTAAGTGGTGTTGGGGAGTTACTTAACCCACAGTATTGAACTGGAAGAATACACTAGATCTTAGCTGATTGTCTCTTTTAAGAAATTCCGAGTTGGACACATGTTCAATATTCAAGCCTATTTTGGAGTCACGTTGCTAATAGTGCAGTGGTTGGGCTGCCTTTTTTACATATATGCCTTCACGTTCCCAAAGCTACTAAATAAATAGTGCTGTTATCCTTCCCTTCCCTTTTCTCTAGACTTGGATCTCTGCCCTTAGGTTTGTATGACCTCTGACAGGATAAAGCAGCCCTGTCAGAATCTGCATGTCAGTTGTTAATTCTTTACTGCTGCAACCTGAACTGTTTTATTATAATTTAGGCTTTATATTTGTCGTTTCATGTCATTTGCAGAATATACATCTCAGCAAATAACAGGTTAAAATGTAAAAATTGGCCATATGAAGACTGTTAGAGAACAAAGACCTTTGTTTTGGGATAGGCTGTTTAATCAGAAGGTTAGGTTCTGAGTACGTTTTAGCATCTTTAAGAATTTCTCAAAGAGCCTTCTTGTCCAGCTGTAAGGGTGCATAAGGATCTGGAAAATACTCATATGACAGCAGAAGTCTCTACTATGATGGCTTTTTACTCGGTGCATCTGGTTTATACTCAATAGAAAAAAAAATACAAAAATGGTACAACAAAGTGGACTGTCCTGTATTCATGTGAATATGCATAGATGTGCCAGCTTTCCCTGTGGACTTCAGTTTCCGTGGGTGAGAAGCGTCAGTTGACTGTCTTGGATTCTTAATCTTAAAATATTTTGATGTATTCTTTTGCTTCCCAGGAAGTACTTCCAACACTAGATATGTGAGTATTTGACATTCTTAAGCCATGTATTAACCTCTAATAGTGTTTGTGAGCAGAGTGGAAAAGGATGTGAGGAGATGAAAGACAAAGGTTACGTTGAAGAAAATGTATTTTGATAAAAATGCTCTTGTGACGCAAAGTTCATATTTACATTATATTTGCTTACCTGGAGGTTCCTTTGCTGCAATAATAGCAGCACCAGCATACACCTACGTTGAGTGCTTTGCCTTGCCTGCTGTCTGTGCTACTCTAAATTATGTCTATGAAAGCATTGTGTTCTGCTGTAACCGTTCCCGTGCTGCTCAGTGTTGATGAGGAATTGTTAGTGTTCCTGAAGAGCTTCTCAAGGAAGCTAGCTCAGGCTTTGGAAGATGAGGAAAAAGCTACTTCACCTTCCTCTGAGAACAAGAAAACACATGGGCGGAAAGCGGGGGAGAAGCCTTCAGTAATATTGCTGTTCTCTACGTGCTTTCATAGCCTGGAGAGCACACCTTGGCATCCCTTCTTCAAAGAAGGGTTGGAAAGAGGCAGGTGACTTGCTTGTTTCTCCAGACTTTTTATTTCTCTGTGATATGTTTCATTTTCAGGTTGCAGGTACTGCTTGAACGTATCCATGCCAGAGCATGGCAGGTGACAATAGAATGATGCTAGGATGCTTTGAAGCTATGGTAAAAATACCTTTTTCCTCCTCGGACTGTAAAGTTACTGTGTACTTGGTTGCTTTGCAGTGTCTGATAATTGGGGCTGGACCTTGTGGCCTTCGCACAGCCATCGACCTGTCATTCCTGGGAGCCAAGGTGGTGGTGATAGAGAAGAGGGACGCCTTTTCCCGCAATAACGTCCTGCACTTGTGGCCGTTCACCATACATGACTTGAGGGGACTTGGCGCCAAGAAGTTTTATGGCAAATTCTGTGCAGGATCCATAGACCATATCAGTAAGTACAGCCGCTGCTAGGTTATGGCAGCACATCTTCACAGGGGAGAGGTGGCTGAGGGCAGGGGGTAACTCACTGAAATGCATCCTGCACCTGCCACTGCTCTCACATCTGTATGGCGTAACGCAACATTACCTTTGTGTGGCACAGCTTGAGCTAGACCCATATGCAAAAGAAATAGATCGTGCCATGGAATCATCAAACATACAACATGTATCTGGCATCTTTTATAACTACTAGTTTCTGAGGCCTAACTTTTTCATACACTGAAAAGTACATCTAAGGTTCAAAGCTTTTTCCCCTTGATGGATCATTTTCCTGTTTTTCCTGTTACATTGCTGCAGCTGCCACATTATTCCGTTGCTCTTGAACATTGTGTATGATGTGTTTTGTTTGTTTGCTTGTTTTTTTAATTACTGAATGTTTTTGAACATTCTTTTGAATGTTGATCTGGAAAACTGCAGGAGCAGTTTTTGCATTGTTAAATTTTGGAAGAGCAGTAAAGATGTTTTCAAGAACACCACCAGCCTCTGAATAGATTTTAATTAAATAGATGTTTGCACATTGAAATGGAAAAATTTTGGTAATTCTCAAATTCTGAGAAAACTTTCTCTTTTGAAAGCTGTACGCTTTAGTAGGGCAGGAGCTACCATTTTTCACTTCTTCTCTCAAAAATTTACCAGACAGGTTAGTTTGCCCACTAGTCTGTGTTCACCGTAGAGCATAAGTGGAAGTATAAACTGACATAAACATAGTAGGTAAGATTTAGCTTCTTGTTCAGTGCAACAGCTTTGTAGACTTTGTTACTTCAGTCTTTCAGATTTCTTTTTCTCTTCCAATTTCTCGTTATTTTTATTCTTCCAGTACTTTGTCATCTTCTTTTGTATCTCAGCACAGATTAAATTTAGTGTTCTGGTGAAGCACTTCTTCATTTCACTATCTGAAATGTGGCAGTAAGGTGTCTTACTTCAAATAGTTGTTTGCCACACTCTCATTTTCATACTTGCTACCTACACTAACTTAAGTGGAAAGAGGTGACAAGGAACTTACTATGTCCCCACTAACCTGAAGGTGTTAGAAGTAAGATGCAGTTCAATATTACAGCAAACTTGATCAAATGGCTAATCATCCTCTGTGACAAAAGTGCAGTCCTGTTTGTGCTCTCTTCAATGCCTCTCCTGCAGTGCATGTTCTGGTTGTTTCCCTTGTTGATTTGGGGGCTGAAACGGTAAAAAAATATTTACTTTCTTGGGGAAGGACTGGAATTTCCGCTACATGGACGTTTCTTGGCATGCCATGATACTACACACCAGTGCTGCCTGGATGAAGTGCTGGGAACACAGCAGGAAGAAGAAAGCAGCAGCTAGCCTTTAAATCAATTTATCAGTAATGTCAAACAGAGATGTGTGCACTTGTGCTCTTTCCTTTTTCTCTTATTTCTTTATCATCTGCTTTTTTTTTCAGGTATCCGTCAACTCCAGCTTATCCTTTTGAAGGTTGCCTTGATCTTGGGAATAGAGATCCATGTCAATGTGGAATTTCAGGGGCTTGTTTACCCTCCAGAGGATCAGGAAAATGAAAGCAAGTAGCTTTGAAAAGGGTTCTAGAGAAAGGGGAAATTGTGGTAGGGGGCACAGATTCCCACTCCTTAATGTTGCATATGACTCTGAGTCTTTTCCTCATGCTCCATTAATGAGAGGAATCTTCAATACACTTTTGCTTGAGTTTTTAATAGGCTTTATTTTTTCTAATAAAACAAGATCAGCTGAATTACTAAGCAGAAATAATCCAAAACACAGTAGGTTCTAATTTCTCCTAACATATTTAAACCTATTACATTTAGAAGGTATCTTTTTAAAACAACTCCTTTCTTTGCATTCACAGAGGATATTTATATCAGTGAATGATCTTTGTTATGCTGTTTGCATCGCTGTGAAACCCACTGTCCGATTGCTGAGAGAGAGTGGCTTACTTGTCTTTTGGCATCCTGATAACTGAGTAAATAGTAGAGAACCTATGAAGGTTTTAGTGATCCTTAAAGGTAATAATCAGGGAGGGGTTATTGGGAATGTCACTGTCTAGCATAGTGCATTCTCTGATTCACACAGAGTGGCTGTGCAAGTCAGCAACAGCCTTGTCAACGATATAGCTATCCTGCAGTCTATCTTTATTGACAATGTGAGAAAGGGATTATGGATGTGTCTTCATATATTTGTTCTACTATGTGCATTGTTTATTTTGTCATTAACCTGGAGTTTACCAACAGGAATAGGTTGGCGTGCATTGGTCCATCCAAAAACCCATCCAGTGTCGGAGTATGAATTTGAAGTAATCATTGGAGGGGATGGCAGGAGGAACACCTTAGAAGGTAAGTGTCCATAATTCTCTTTAAAATAGAACTAATTCTTAAATTAGTTAGAGCAGACATGAAGAAAAAAGACTTCAAAAGCCTGATCAAAATCTAAAAATACATTTGACTAGGAAAAAATTTAAAAGTCCATGTAGAAATCTGTTTTTATCAAGACACATGGGATCATATTTTTCCTCTTTCTATCCACCAGCAAAAGAATGAGATATTTGACCTGAATATTTTTCCCACCTTCTTTCTTTAGCTAAATAGTGTTGTAACTCTTAATTTTGAAAGTAGGAAGTTGAAGTGTTAAATTTTCTTCTGTGTAGTAGAGAATTTTATCTAGTATTTTGATGCAACTTACAGTTTTGGGGAAAGGGGTAAGAAAGACGAGGGAGGAGCTTTTTCCCTAAATAAGAACCTCTATTTTTCTGATGAAGCAATTGTTGCTTTCTCAGTGGAGTAGTTTGTAATATATCAGATCCTATCTCTCCTTTATTTTGTGAAGACACCTGTCTACGGCATGGTGAGCATTCTCTGAAGCTATGCTCTATTTTTCAGCATTACTACTTTATCTTTCCCATAGGGTTTCGCCGAAAAGAATTCCGTGGTAAACTAGCGATTGCTATCACAGCAAACTTCATCAATCGCAACACCACAGCTGAAGCCAAAGTAGAAGAGATCAGTGGTGTGGCGTTCATATTCAACCAGAAATTCTTCCAGGATCTACGAGAAGCCACAGGTTTGTCAGCAATTGCCAAATTTCCAACGAAAATGGTTTGTCTTTCTTACTTCAAATTTGTAACTCAGGTATCACGATGTTAATCAATAAACAAATGACTTGTGCCAAGAAGTCAGTCATTGCTGTCTCTCTTTGAAATCTCACTTCCCTCATTTTTACAGCTGTTCTATACATTTGTACAAAGCAGGTGTGTGTCATTGAGATGTGTCATTTTGTTCAGAAGTGGAGAACATTTCCCTGAGGGTTTTCAGGAAATCTGATCTGCTCTTAAGGAAAGCCTGAATCCTGAGTTTAGCTTCCTGCACTCCACATCTGCACTTACTGTCATGATAAATATATTTTTGAAAAGATAAATATATTTTTGAAAAAAAAATATGTATATATAGGGGAAATGCTCTGTGGTTTTGTTGAAGATGTAACTTTTAAAAATCATCAAAAGCACAGGAGGAAGTTGCTTGGCACTCTCTCTAGGGTTTTCTACCACGTAGACTACCACGTAGTTTCAATTTACTTTCTTCCAAAGCGATCATTTTTGCACGTACTGTGTAACATGTTCCTTCACTATCTTGTTCTGTCACAAGGTATTGACTTGGAGAACATTGTCTACTATAAAGATGATACACACTACTTTGTCATGACTGCCAAAAAACAGAGCCTACTGGATAAGGGTGTAATACGGCATGTGAGTATTCACTTTTATATATACTTTTTGTACTAAGATTGTGGGACAACTTGTTTTTAGTATGCTAAAAGGGAAAACACACTCTTACTTCATTGCATGATGTTTTTATACAGGTGTATTTTAGAAACAAACATATGTGATTAATGCCCTTCTGAAGTATTTTCAGCCATGAGAAAAGTGTTTTAAGATCTACCCTGTCTAAATTTGTATCCTTTTGTCATTTTGAGGGTTTGTTCACGTTAATATACGCTTAAAGAACCTTTGGTGGCTTGTTTAAGCTTCTCTCATTTAATGAAAATGAAAAAGCAGGGAGTGAAGAAATTCTTGGAAATTTACATCCATCTTATTCTGATAGAAGCAGATTTAAAAGTAGTTTGGCCGAATACATAAGGAGTGAGGTCTTGTGCCTTTTGTGTGAAGAGAAATGCTCAAAAGTTTGTTGGCCCTTTCACTGCTTAGAAATGCCAGTAGGACTGATGCCTGTTTGCAGTAAAAGATTTACAAATTTTTCCTTGGAATTATAAGCATTGTTAGGAATGTAAGAATTAAAGGGCAAACCTGTATCAGTGGATTGTAGTGGATTTTTTAATGTCAACATTGTATATGCCAGTCTTAAAATAACCTTATAGATTTGGCTGTTTCACTTGTCTCTCTTTGGCAGGATTATGCTGATACGGAGTTACTACTCTCTCGGGAGAACGTGGACCAGGAGGCTTTGCTAAACTATGCCAGAGAAGCAGCTGACTTTTCCACTAATCAGCAACTGCCTTCACTAGACTTTGCCATCAATCACTACGGGCAGCCAGATGTGGCAATGTTTGACTTCACGTGCATGTATGCATCAGAGAATGCAGCTCTGGTGCGAGAGCAGAATGGCCACCAGCTACTTGTGGCACTGGTTGGGGACAGTCTCTTAGAGGTTTGTGTTTTAAACTTACCATTTGTAAACAGGGAATTGAAGTGTAAGCACAAACCATTGCACCCATCACTGAAATGTAAGACAGTTATTATGAGGAACACTGCTGTTTATTATATAATAAAGTGGGAGGTTTGAAAGAAGGGTAGGCATGTTGGGAAAACAGAATATTTAGTAATGATCATGCTTAAGAAAATATGTGCAGAGTTTTCTGAAGTTATATCTATTCCATGTGCTTCTTATTGGGACAATTATACTCGCTGTGGGAACCTACTCCAGGCCTGTTAATAATTAGCATTTTGTAGTTGTTTAAGAGGTATAGTATTGAAGAGTAGCTCTTAAGATACTCTAGGCTATGAATAGCTGTTGGCAATAGAGGAGCATTTGGCCTTGAGGAAGCTCATGGACAATTCAGCATGCATCTAGCTTCCTCTAGCCCAGTGGGAGTAGAGCTTCAAGCTAATTACTGAGCAGTAATTTCCCAGCAGATTACCCTCTATATTCATGGTATTGATTTAAAATGTTCTCTATCTGATGTTCTTCCTTTCTGTTCTTCTTTTTTGAAACTGTTATATTAGCCATTTTGGCCAATGGGAACTGGAATAGCCAGAGGATTTTTGGCTGCAATGGACTCTGCTTGGATGGTACGAAGTTGGTCACTTGGAGCAAGTCCTTTGGAAGTTCTTGCAGAGAGGTAGTAGAAAAAATGCTTCCATTTTCAGTTTTAATCTCATCCTCCAAGATCTCATCATTCGTTCCAATTCCTTCTAGTGCAAATATATAGATAGATAGGAGATAAAGATTCTCACTGTCTAAAGAGGGTGCTTGTGCATATAATTAAATCAAAGAAAACAATCTGAAGGAGCTGATAAGCTGAAGTATATTTAGAGAGGAATAAGATATGTTGAAGCTGGTTTTGGTCCTAGTCTTACAAAGCAGATTAGATGAAGAGTCTTTTCTTGGTGCTTATTGGTATTACGTGGAGAAAGTGAGCTTGACTTACTGCCACAAGCCTTTCAATAGCAAACTAGATGAAGATGTAGATGCCTTTGAAGTACCAGAGACAACAAAACTGTTTGCCATTCCCTATTATCTTGTGAATATCTTTTATGATTTTCTTAGCAATACTAATAGTGATGCATCTTTACAAACAAACTTTTTTTTTTTTTCTTTTTTTTTTCCCCCTAAGGGAAAGCATCTATAGGCTACTGCCTCAGACCACCCCTGAGAATGTGAGTAAAAACTTCAGCCATTATAGCATTGATCCAGCCACCCGGTATCCCAATATCAATGTCAACTTCTTGCGGCCACAGCAGGTAACTAGAAAAATGGTGCTTCTGAATATTTGTAATCTGCATTGTCTTTTCGTAGGTGAAACTATACTCACGTTTTGGGACAGATAATGACCTGACTGTGGCAGTGTAACTTGGAAGCAGTGAGATGCAGATATATCAGACAAGAGTCAAGCTCTTTAATTCCTGTTTTATCTAGAGTTTAGAGTTAAAAATGTGCTTTTAAATCATCTGTATTCTTGATTTTGACAGTTTTAACCATGCTGTGATGATACTTGAAATCTATAAATGTGTGCCTGTGCATGCATTTTTTTTTGTACTAAGTCTAGTATACCAGTCTAGTCATTGCAATTTGGTATCCACTGAGCAGTAACAATCATCTAAACTATTCAGCACTGACAAATTGTCCCTTGTTCTGGAGTTTTTGAGCTAGAGTTTTCTGCTACATGAGAATACTTGTCCTCTTTCTTTTACCTTGGGATGACTCCTCCTTGTCCTCCTGCCCTTTCTTTATGGATGTTGGGTACATAGCATGTTGGTCATTTTTATTTTTATTTTTTTTGCATCATTTTAGGTACGCCACTTGTATAATACAGGAGACTTGAAAGACATTCACCTGGAAATAGAGAACTTTGTGAACTCCAGGACACCAAAGCTGACTCGGAATGGTAGGCCTTGTTACTGCTCCATTCCTTTTGGTATTCTGAGGCTGAATTAGTGCAGAGCATGTGGAGCAATGTCACTAGTGTATTGTTTAGTCAGGCTCCTTTGCTGTAGAAAAAGTATCCAGCAATTGTTTTGTCAGCAGTCTGACTTTTCCAATCTTTCAAGTTTCAATTAGCATGCAAATATATTTTTGTTTACCTAGTTTTCTTGCTTTATAATGCTGCAATATTTCTAGAACATGACATCTTATACAAGCATTGCTTTTCACCTCCCTTGTCCCTATAACACTGTCCTTACTTAAAGTGCAGGGAGCTTGCCTGAATGCACTCTAACAGTAAACACAAAATCCTTATAAAAATAACAGAAGTTATTTCTAGTACAGTCTTTCATGTTTATGCTTTTCTTTACTTAATCTCATTTCCTAGCTTAACTAAATGGAACCTCACTTTACTTATGTTATTCTGAAAGCTAGATGCCTTCTGAAAAGCATTTCAGTATCTGTCTACTTGTCCTATGCCCTGAGGGGTATGTTGAACATTTCCATTTGCACACTTTGCCTTTGAATGTCCAGATAACATTGGGGTCTCTCTGAATGGTGCTTTGCTGCTGAGCCTCCTTTCGCTGCTGAATATGTAGTTTTTGGATTTGTTCTTTGGCCTGCAATCCATGTCCCTTTAGGCTGTAATCTTGTCAGATCTTGCAGTAAGGCAAGGTCAAAACAGGTCAGCACTTCTAATGGAAGGCTTTCAATAGGAAAGAAACAATTGCAAAAGTACATTTGTAATTCTTGCATTACAAGTAGTGTATCTGGGCTTTACAGAGCATTGTACTACTGTATATCCTTTTAATAATATTTAAAACAAGCCTTTGTGACTGCTTTATTCATGGGGCTCTTTTATGAGGGCTAGGGTGAAATGTCTGGCAAGATATAACTTCTGTAATTACTTTTTAACAAATGAAAATTCCTTTATTGGAGCTAAAATAGATATGATTGTCTTTAAAAATAATAATAATAATAATTTTGTCCTGTGTTGCTCATTGTAGAAGGAGCATATTGTTTACACGGAGGTTTTATTTGCCTATTCATATTTTTTATGATGTAGTTAAAATTCATGTAAAGATTTTCTGTGTTTCTACTTAACAACTTGATTTCTTACAGAGTCTGTAGCTCGCTCTAGCAAATTGCTCAATTGGTGCCAGAGGCAGACAGATGGGTATGCTGGTGTAAATGTTACAGATCTCACGATGTCATGGAAAAGTGGCTTAGCTTTGTGTGCCATTATCCACAGATACCGTCCAGATTTAATGTAAGTAATTGGCTCTTTTGAAGATCTGGGAAGGGCAAAACGTTAGTTACATTTCAAACAAATACAATTGAGAGTGAGGCAATGTGTTTGTGACTTATGAAGAAATGGATTGAAATTAAGTCAATTAAGCCTGATAGAAGCTAATGTACAGTGATTCATCAGCAGAGGGGAAGGTCATAATAGCTTGACGAATATGAAGGTAAATGTGTTGTCATTTTCTTTTCTGGATGATTTGACAATTAAACTTCAAATTGGTACTGTCTGGAATTCATTATTGTCAAACAGCTCTCCTCTGTGAAATTAGTCAGGAATAGTTGATAGCTTCAGTTAGATTTCTTGTGAACAAGTCTCTACACAGACCTTTAATCTCCTGTTTGACAGTAACTTTTTAAAAACATTAAGGCTGCCCTTTACAGAAATAGTGACTCACTACCTGAATGTTGCTGTTTGTAAACTAACATGTTGTTTGGATGAAAGAAAGTCTGTCCTCTTACACTATATATTGAGTAAAGCAGTAGCTCCATTCGAAAACAGGAAAACAGTGGCTGGCAGAAGTATTAGTAGCAAAGACTCTGGTAGTTTAATTGAAATCTGCAGTGACTTCAACTTCCCAAAGGGACATTAGAAAAAATAAATGCCAGAGATGTAATTAAAGGCATAATCCAGTAAAAAGCTTGCTAAATAATTGTGTGGTTATTCCCTTCCATGTGCACTGAATTGCTTTGCTACCAGTGCACTCAAGTTAACTGAGCTACTCTTTTTAATAGCTATATAACTTGTGAAGGGTTCAAGTGGAAGTATTCTGTACTGTGTTGCTTTTCAGATAGTTCATATAACTCTCCATAAGCTATGTAACTTTTTATAGAGTTTTAGCTTTGTGTGTGTGCATATATATATATTTCTACAAGTTTCAGAAAAAAATAGAACAAAATAAGGGGTCAGGTCGAGAAAAATGTGGACAAAGAGAAACTTCATTTAGGACTTCATTTAGTTCCAAGCACGTAAAAGATTTTACATACAGGAAAGCAGTAGAGTTTTCGAGCAAAGGAGGAAGTGAAGATGTATTTCAGGGAATACTCAAGTTCTTAAGAATTAAAAATTAGGTTTATTGGAAGAGAAACAAATTAAAAAAAGAGTTAAGTTTGAGTCAAAGTTCACCATAATTAAATAGCATCAACTCTGCAATACAAAAGGTATGTTGACAAGTAAATTTCGGAGATTTCAGAACAAAATGGCAGTGGATCCCTGATTTCTTTCAGAAGACTGATTTCCACTTGATTCAGCTTGATTCAGTGCATGCCTTCTTCCTGCTCTTTGCAGAGACTTTGATTCTTTGGATGAACACAATGTGGAGAAGAATAACCAGCTAGCTTTTGACATTGCTGAAAAAGAGTTTGGAATATCTCCCATTATGACTGGAAAGGAAATGGCATCTGTTGGTGAACCAGATAAACTGTCAATGGTGATGTACCTCACACAGTTCTATGAGATGTTCAAAGACACCATCCCCTCTAGTGGTAAGGAGTTTGGGGCAGGTCTTTAAGATTTAAAGAATGTGTGAACTTGAGTTATCTTTGAGCTTCTTCCACATGAACTTATACTAGTGACTCACTAACTTTACATTACAATAAGATGTCTTACTGGCTGTTTATAAAGACAAGAGCATCAAGAGCAAAAAGAGGAGTTAATAAATACATGGCATTCCCTTGTCCTGCCTGTTTTTGCCAACAGATAGTGTGGACCTGAATGCAGAAGAAAAAGCTGCCCTAATTGCCAGTACCAAATCTCCTATCTCTTTTCTCAGTAAACTGGGACAAAGCATCTCTCGGAAACGCACTCCAAAGGTAACCATACCACGGTCTTGATAACAGCTGTGTCTACTAGGCTGCTGTCCAAGTAGGTGGTACTACAGATGGATGTGTCTGTCTGCTATGTATCTGCAAAAGACCATGTGTTCTTCAGCTCTTGTCATGAGACGATACATGACCTTTAGAATTGCATTGGTAATATGCACTCTCAATTAGTGGTATATTTCAGTCATAAAATTCTAGCTTTTTGGTAGAATGTGGGGATATACTTTGTATTGGAACACAGTTGATTGCTCAGTTCCCAGTTTGTTGGAAGTGCTGAAGAATGACAGGTAGAGTTTCCAGTATGTGAAACCCCAAAGGTGGGGGGGCGACATACAACAGAAAAAAAACACACATTTCTTTAAACAAATGGGGAATGACCTAGAGAATTAATCAGTTGTATTACAAAACTTATTTAAGTGCACTCGTGACATTTGTCTCAGCCCAGAAAGGTATGAGAATCCTTATCTTTGTTTTCTTTCTTTCTTACTCTGTTTTCAGGACAAAAAAGAAAAGGAACTGGATGGTGCAGGAAAGAGGAGGAAAACCAGCCAATCTGAGGATGTAAGTATTACAGTAAGGAAGGTGTTAGGGAGAAAAATATATCTAGTACATTTCTTTGTTCCCACTTCAGTCCTTTCATTTTCTGTATCCAGACCGGGCTTATTTCTAAATTAAAATTAATTCTTCAGAAGTTATGCTTTGTTGTATTTATAGAGGAAATATTTTACTGATGCTTATGAAAGAAGAGTACACTACAAATGAGATATTTGCAGTTGCTCCATATTCTGTTTTTATAGAATAAATTTGCAATTTACTTTGATTTGGTGAGCACACCAATAGGTAAAGTTTCATTTAGTAAAATCATACAGTAGTCAGAGATTTCATTCATATTTGAACTGTAGTCTCAGTTAGTGCAAAAGGCATACATAACCACAATGCTCCGCAAGGTAATCCTTCAGTTCAAGTGCCTATAGCCAAATAAGTACAAGTGAGCTAAACGTTAGTATTTAGAATTGTCAGCGAGGGTTGAAGATATCATTTTGCTTTATACCAGCAGATTAATGAGTGTTTCAACTGTGGTTTCTCGGTTAGGTAACTGTATTAAGTAAGGTTGGAAAGATAGTTATCAGAACATTTGATGTCATACCAAAGAAAACTAAAATGTGAGCTTGCAAACACATACCAATAGATTTGTTTTCTACACTGTTAGAAATCTATTGCAGCAAAGGTGAGGAGAGAAAAGGTCATCTGGATGTATCTGTTAAATTTTGATCTCACTGGTTGATAGGAGGATGTCCCTCGAAGCTACAGAGAAGAAAGACCTACATTGGTGAGTGCCCTGACGGAGAGGAGAATTGATGCTGCCATTGGGAATCAGAACAAAGTCAAGTCCATGGCAACCCAGCTACTGGCCAAGTTTGAGGAGAATGCACCAGTGCAGTCCTCAACGTTACGAAGACAGGTATGAGATGGTTAATAAAACACTGTATTTTGGAATCATGGCAGAAAATCACGAGTAATAACATGCATTCCTCAAGACTGGATGCTAGTGGTGTTCTTGTACTTCAAAGGCTCTCCTGGGGAAGAATGAAGGTTACTCAAAAAGAAAAAAAAATTACATTTAGGAGTATGGGATGGAGAGCTTCCTAATGAAAGTCTACTTTCCTGTTACTGACAGTATTATGTGATCTCTTTCAAAAACACCTTACCAGCAATTAAGATTCTTGTATAACTACTTTTTCTGTTGAAAAGCTTTCCAGGAATATCCCATTTCTCACCTCTAAGAGCTATCATTTAATTTCCGATTAGAACATTTTCATGTCAGGTTATATGTTTGTTCTTGTGAACTGTGATTAATTTTTTTTTTTCTTTTTTATCTTTATGTAAGCACAGCAGATAAATGTCTGGGAATTTCATTGCAATCAGGATATTTATATCATTTCAAGTGAGGCTTCCTGACAAGTGCCGGTTATTCAGGATATTATCTGAACTACTGCAACTGCAGGGTAGTCATCTTTGAAGTGATGCCGAGTCACTTCAAGATGCTGCTAAGCTGTGTAGTGTCAGCAGTATAAGGCTCAGTATGGTTTAAGTGCCTGAGTTCTTGCTCTGCTGCATAGTCTGTCTTCATAGCTTGTGCCAAGCTCTGTGCTGCCCTGGCCAGATTGTGAACAGGACCTTATCTAGCTACTTTAAGTCTAGTCCAGGTGTATGTATGCTACATTGCACAGTGGTGTTGGTAGCATAGCATAATCTCAGAACAATGACATTTATTCCACTGTTTACCAGTCAAATGTTTCCTCAGCCGCTGCATATTGGCTGGAATAACTGGCTGAGTTGAAGGAACAATGAAAATAAAGGTCAAAAAAAAGTGCAGTTTCCCATTTGTTGATGTCTTTTCCCTTTTTATATATGACTTGCTAAATGAATTCTCCTCTACCCTATTTTTTTGTTAAATGTTTGTCTGTCTGATTCTGTCTCTCATTCCTTTGGCTTTCTTCGAGTTTCCTTTGCTATTCTATCATCCCTCCTTGGTCCCATCCCAATTTCCCTACAACCTGCATGCAGCAACCTGTCCTGCCTTATCAAGAACGTGTTCACAACCAACCATCCAGCAGACGAGAGCAGGGCCGTCTAGCTCCCATCCCCCAGTGGAAACAGGTAAAGAAATTGATTATGAATATGATATGTTGCCTGCACCCAACACCAGCTATCACTATCCTGTTTTTAAACCAGTCCTTTTCCAGCAAAAACATCCTTTTTAATGTGTGAGTCCATTATTTTAAATAGTTTAACTTGTCATGAATACATGTAAGATCAAAGTCTGCCTTTGGTAATAACGCATGATTTATTGTTTCAGGAGGATTTAGTCAAACTTACCCTGTTGTCTTACACTGGTTTCATCTTCCTAGGTCTTCAGTGGATGTTTCATCAGAAACCTTGCCTATAGATGCAACATTGTGTTGTCTGGAGTATTTGTAGATTATTCTCTTAGAAAACAATAGGGAATATGTAGACAATTATTGCAGCCAATGAGGTTTAAGATGTCATGCCATCTGTGGTATTAAAGCTCTTCATTGGTGTAAAGAGTAAAATTGATTGTCAGTTTTGCTATTCATGTGGAATATTGTGTTCTGCAATTAGAAGAGACATTTCAGTTTCTGTGGTTTCCTGTTCTCTGTGACAAACCTAGCTTTCCTTGTGAGCTTCTCACCTTCATTGCATTGCAGATTCCAGTATTACTGTGGATTAAGTAAATTTTAGATTTTCTGCCACACACAGTGACAGAATAGGGATCGACAGAAGAAAGATCAGTAGGTATCATATTTTATTTTCTTTTGTATGGTTTAGCTCATTGTTATTACTGGTATTTTTCTTTCAGCAGTGTACTGTGAAAGCAAGGCTTGTGACAATCAATGTTTTCAGGCAAACAGGGATACTTATCTCACTGGCTTCCTCTGCTTCCTCTCTTTCCCTGTGCAAATCACCTCCTCTTGTTTCTGAGAGTGCTGAGATATATTTTTCTGGCAGCCATAATTTAGAGAAACATCTGTTTCTTTCTGGATGCAGCTTAATAGCATGCTTTTGGAGTCACGAGGAAGAAGTTTGGAAGTTCACTTTTTTGCGTGTTTATGGATTCATGGTGAACTTTATCCTCAAGGTATTCAACCCAAGCAGTGCTTCATGTCATGACCAGTGCCATGATCTAGAAGATTTCTCTCCAAAGAAGACCCAAAGCAGGGGAATTATCAGTAGGACTGTCAATAGAGTCTTAAAAATGTCAATATTACATTTAGGTTTCCAGAGTCATTCTTTGTTCTTCTACCTTCTCATCAAAATCTTCTTTATAAGCTAATGAGGACTTTCAGGTGGATACTCATCATCCATGATTAAGACAGATTTCGATTTTTAAGAATACTTCCAGGTATAGGGGAGAACCCAAAGAAGAGATGCAGAAGAAGTGTATGTGGCTGTACATTACCAGGACAGTTAATGAACGCTGCTTATGTCACCCTCCTTTTATTCAGCAGAGACATTGACAGCTGTCTGTGGGTACTTTCTCCCTCAAGATTGGTCCTGAAGTATTTGCTTGACTTTTTTCTTTGATGAGCTTTACTGTGTCAGCAGAAGATGGTTGGTTCTTGGCTCCAGAGTTCATTCTGGATTTTGAAGTGTTTTTCATCTAACAATGAAATGGAGAAGAATAAAAGTGGGTCTCAAAGATGCACAATATGCAGAATACATTAGGATTGAAGAAACAGTTTATATGGTCCCTATTCTAAAGGTTCCTTAGGACTTGCCCAGGGAAATAAAGGACATCAATGGTCATCACATAGAAACTAATTGGGAATATGTAGAACCATTTCTTCTGGACTGATCAGCTGAGGCTGGAAGCCATGCAGTAACCCAAGCAGCCAGCTTTGTCAAGCTTGGACAGAAATCCATCCTGTGGGAATTTGTTGCTGAAGCAGTGCTTTGGCTGTCTGTTGAAGATTCTTAATTCTGTCTGCTTAGGTACAAGGAATCTGACTGCTGTGAGACTGCATGTTACTTCAGTACTAAAACAGCTTTCTTCAGTGACATTAGGCACTAACTACAAAGTTATTTCCTGGGCCACAGATCACCAGCAGTGGAGTTGGGGCTGGGTACCAGTCCGTGTTGTACGGCTCCTGACAAGGTCTTCAGGGGGGATTTGTGTTTGCCAGAAAGATCTGCTCATGAAGGTATGGCAAAGGGTCTCTTGTTTGGCACAAATGTCAGAGTTCACAAGCAGAACCTTCTGTTCAGTGATTCTGCATAAGATAATATCGCATAATGAAAGACTTCTACTGAGGAGTCCTTTGAAGAGGAGCAAAGCAGTTCCTGAAGAGGACAAAGCGGTGACCTGCTTTTGAAGAAAACAACTAGTTGCCTCATATATTTGCCCGCAGGCAGAATGAAGTTGAAGTCCTCAGGGGTTCATGGGAGAAGGATAGTTTCCTGTCTTGTGATTGATAGGTTTGGTCCTGCACCCTGGAAGCTGCATGGAAGAGGAAAGCGTACTGCCAAGGCAGCAAGAATAATTACAGGGGAGAACTGGATGTTTGTGTAGGAAGTGGTCTGGGTTGGACCACCAGGTTTTTTTTGGAGAATTTACATCTGCCTTAGGCTGCGAATTGCCAGTGTCTGTCAGATGGACTTCATTAGCTGTCCTTGCTTATCGGTTTAAGTCTAGAATTTTGCTGTTCCATAAAGAGTTACCAGCCAAACAGTTTCAGTTTATAATGCAGAGTGTCTCTGTGTCTGCTGTAGAGGTGGGATAGGGATGGCTTGGTAAGACAGAATTCCTAGAAAGAGTGAAGTCTTGGCAGAATCTGTTCTGAAGTAGTTTTTACTTTCATCACAAGACCTTGTTATCTCTCCTGAAAAGGGAAAACCTTGAAAGGATCAAACAGGTTAAAAACCTCCTCAGTCTGCTGCTGTAAGCATTCAGTGTGGCCCGCATTTTCCTCCTGAATTAGATTGCAGTGTTTGCTTTGTTGAACTACAATTTGGGAATGTTGATCTTTGTTGTCAAAACTGGGTTCATGCTACTGTGAACATCTCAGCAGCAGCTGGTAATGCATGAAGGTAATGTTTGTGTATGTGCACAGGAGAAACGTGCAATTTTTTATGTGATATGGTATCTCCTAAAAAATCTGGATTGCATTTTGTGGTATGGTGAATAATCTCAAATTAACCTCTAGTTGTGCTAAAATATCTTATACATTGCATTCTGTTGCTTTCCATTTTCACTGCTTTTTGGAAAGAGCATCTCATCAGGGATCATGAAGCTATTAGAGAGCCATGTAGTCTATCCAGAAGAGTATCTGACTGTTTATCATGTGGGAGACTAGCCCTTCAAACTGAATTTTGTCCTGGATTCCAGTCTTTGAACTTATGGTCTTCAGCATTTTTCTGCCATAGTTTCATAGCCTCCTAGCAACAAGAATGTATGTGTGTAATGCGCAAGTGTAAATCACTGATGTGTATGAAGATGCTTGTAAGATAGAGATCACATGATTTGCAGCACAAATCTCTTCTGCCTCTGGATGTCTGATGCTTGTTCTTTCAAGAGGATTTCCTGATGTGTGATAAAAGCTTGTTGGTAAAAACCCTTCTCAGTAATTCTGTTGGAACTGTGATTTTTAAAGATACGTAATGTGTGAGATGACCACAGTCAGCTGGAGCTGAAATCTCAGCAGAAGAAAACTTATATCAATGATTTCTGCAAATACTGTTTTCCTACTTAATTTCTCATTTAAATATGTTGATAAGTCTTTGTTTCCTTGTTCCTGTAGCCATCTTTGACTTTGCATGTTTAGAGATGCATCCTACTGGAGGACTGAATATGTACTTCATATACCCATACAATGTTATATTCCATGATCTGCCATGGAAAATTACACAAGTTTGGGAATACACAGAAATTTCAAATGCAAACTAGGCCATGGTCAGATGACAGTCTATGAACAGCTGTAGTGATTGAAAATGTTACCTCCCTTTCTGCTAGAGATTAGTGCCTTCACAGCTGAGCCTTTTGAATGCTCCTCATCCACTTCAGTGCAAAGTCATGTAGCTTAGTTTAAGCTGCTTGTAGCATGTGTTTGAATTAGAGTTTACTTTTTTGGTGAAGGGGAAGAGAACTCCCAAATACATGTTAGCACCAGTTCAGCTGTCAGGACCATAACGATTATCTATAATATCTTTACATAGCACGCTGTTTCTTTGGAGGCTATCTAGCAGTGACTCTGGATACACAAGCTTTTTTTTTTTTTTTTCAGTGCAACAATTTCCAGATATGCTCCTGTGAAAAGAAAAGGAAAAAAGAAATAAGCATAGAATACATTAAATATCTAGAAGTGGTGGAGAAAAGACTGTACGTAGTGGGGACATAAAGAACTAGCAAGGCATGTTCTTTCAGTATATAAAAATGAGGGCATATATGCATTCTGTAGTATTCAGTTTATTCAGTATGGCTACACACTGCCTTGAAAGCAGCTGTAGTTCTCTTCTAGTAGAATGGCAAAGCACAGTTTAACTCGTCTGAGACAGTTTAATATCTGTAAGGTAGAGAAGCTGAGAACAGGATACTGCAACTTGAGTTGTATTGCTAATAAGCTGCAAGCAAGAGTAATCAGGTCAACAGGATGAATATTCTTAAACATTGCAAGGCACAGCACTATATAATTTTTCACGAAGCAACACGAGCAGTCCAACTCTGCTACCAAGAGTTTCGAGTTTTGCATTTGACTGAGCATAAGACCTTGACTCAGCAACTGTTGGTTGAATCGATTATTGCTATAACTACATGTTTATTGGCTGTTCTAGAATTATCTGTCAAGTGGATGTGTGATCTTGTGAATATGGGTGAAAATTTTCTCTCTTTCAGCTTGGATAAAATGTGGCTTTAGGTCACTCATAAGAGCTACGAACATAGCATCGCGGTCTCTCAGCTTATGCATTCTAGCCAGTCTTACAAAGTCAAGGGTAATGTTATCTTAGCTTTTCTACCGTTATTATGGTTTTTTTTTTCTTTTTTTGTTTTAAAAAAAAGATGAGGAGTAAGGAACGTTGTCGGACCTGCCCCAAAAAAGTGATCATGCTCTCTTCCACTGCACCTTCCTCTCCAACGTATCCCAGGCAGCAGGTGATTCCCTCTGCATGCTCTGTCCCTCTCTCTTCATTACTGCTTTGTACAAATGACTAAATTGATTACCAGACATGCCACTTACAAATATATTTCCAATTTTCTTTTTTTTGGAGGGTGATAGGGCTTCTTCAACCTCTTAATATAGAAACACAGGTCAGCATTAACTCAGAAGAAGCATCATTTTGACGATTGTCTAATGCACTGGAGATTCTGAGACTTTACTCTAGGGTAATTGGTAATTACAGTAGCCTTCTTCAGTTTTGAGTTGCAGCAAAATAGAACTGAAATAAAATTAGGGCCACGTCTACCTTTAAGATATATATACATGCTTCTTAGAAATTCAGTAGGTGTGCTTTTGTCTAAGTATTAGAACTTGATCCTGTGTTACATATAGATCATTCACTGGCCAAAGGCTCCTTTTTTTCTAAACAGAAGTTAGTATGTTTGGAGTAGTTCAGGGATGGAAATTGCAACTTTTCTCCATCTCTGTGCTTTGTTTATAGAAGTGTGACTGAGAATTTGTTCTTGTACCCATGAAACTCTTTCAGATTTATTGTATGAAGTCCTTTTTTGAGTTGTTGTTGTGGCCTGCACATGTCCAGTTTGGTCCTTCAGTTTCCCCCACATCCAGGCCTTTGTCTCAAGAGTTCGTGTTCAGTCTGTCTTAGCTTGCATTTGGAGCTGTGTTGTTCTGAACACAGTATATACATGTGAATCAGATGTATGTACACATGTATATGTTGTCCTTCTAGTTAAATATTACCTGAAATCTTAAATATCTGTGTCTCGTTTGCTATACATGGCCATCCTGCTTGAGTTGTGTCTTTATTTTTGTTCCATTTTCCTACTGCAGTAATAAATTCTCCTTCCACATCAGCCCTTAACTAATCTTTAGTTGATAAAAAGGCAGCTACAGTTCCATAGACCCAAAAAGATTTCCCCAAAGGTGGAAAACATTTCTTTGCTGAGCACTTGTTTTCCTATAAACTCTACTTTTAGCAGAATAGAAAAGGGACATTCTTGAACATATTGTTTGACTTGTCTTACTGCTGTGGTTTCTCAGAGTACAGTTACATGTTACATTTCATCTGCCCTCACTACAGCCTCTGGACCACACTTTGCCTGCTGCCTCTCCTATGTCAGATTTGTTCAAACAATCAGGTCTGCTTACCAATCTGATTTGAAATTGTTTGAACAAAAAAAGTAGTTTGTTTTCTGGCACACTGTGGACAGCATGGTGCAAGGAAGGATTCAGGAATGCACATCTGGGTCGAATAGGTGAGGAACGCCCTTCTCATTAGCAAAACCCACATCTAAACTGAGTCGACTGTAATGAGAAATTGTATCATCACAGAATGGAAGGGACCTCTGGAGTTCATCTGGTCCATCCCCTCTGCTCTAGCAGGGTCACCCAGAGCACATTGCACAGGATGGCATCCAAACAGGTTTTGAATGTCTCCAGAGTAGGAGACTCCACAGCTTCTGGGCAACCTGACCCAGTGCTCTGTCACCCTCACGGTAAAGAAGTGCCCCCTCATATTGAGCCGGAACCTCCTTTGCTTGAGTTTGTGTCCACGGCCTCTTGTCCTGTGGCTGAGCACCAGACGCTGTGATAGCTAGCAGCCTTCCTCTCATCAAGATCCTTTGAAGATTTTCCCCAAGCTTATGATAAACTAAGTTAAATGTTGAGACTTATTTTTCAATCTATGGTGTGGCAGTCACTTTCCATATTTAAAAAATGGGCTTTCAGTTACTGAGGACCCTTTAGCTCTGTGTTTTCCCTCCCTGTCTCCTCCAAGTACTTTGTTTGTTTGTCCTGTGACTCTCTCTTGCTTGCCTAGTTCAGTCATGAGAACTGACTGCTGCTGGGTCCAAACGTGCGTAGACCATTTTCTACCTTGTGTCCTGTAGGAAACGTTTTTGTTCAAATTATAAAAAAAAAAAAAAAAAAAAGCATTGTCCACTTCCTCCTTTTAACTCAGAGGAATTTTACCTCCTGTGCTGCGTAAGTAATCTGTTAGGGCCAGTTGAGGGACTGCCTTTGGAGATGTTTTTTCTTCCTTATTCTTTTTCTGAATTGTCTTGGCCCACACCACATAGCAAGTCAAATGGATCTGTGTGCTTGTTACACCGATGTCTTTTAAAAACTCTGCACTTCTAATGCGTTCATTCTGCCAATTCCTTTAAACTTTCTATTTCTTTCCTTTGATCTAACATCACAGTAGATGTTGAGTGTCTTCTCATCTTTATAGTACTAATTTTATTACACTGTGGTTAACAGATTTAATATGAATCTATATGAACTTTTTTTAATATCTTCCCTACAGGAACCAAGTCATTACTGCCAGTTTTAAAATATTCTTCTCAGTAAATTGTTTTTCTATCATTATGACTTCTTTTCTGCCTACATGTTAAGAAAAATCTAATTCAGTCTGTTTTGACTAGGAAGTTGGTCTGTGATTGTTACTAAGCTCATAATTTGTTGCCTGCAGAGAATCAGGGAACCTGGTGCTGACTATCTTGGGGAGCAGAGTCCCAGACAAGGAAGGGTAAAGAGCATGAACAAATGGCATGGATGCTGATGACACAGCTGTGTGCAATACAGGGAGCAAACGTACTGAGTAGTGAAGCACTTATCCTAATGCTGCTGTTAACACGCTGAAACTGCTGAGAGGCAGTTAGGAGCAGTCAACTATTTCTGCGTGATGCCCACACAAACGCGTAACAAGCCTTCATCAACAGTTTGCTGTATGCTTGTATTTTGCCATAGATTTGGCACTTAAGCTCTTCCCATTCTCCTTTTTCTCTTACACCTCTTTTTGAAGTGTGCTGTAGCTGTAGCAGAACAAGAAGAGTTATGTTTTGTGCTAGTTCATGCGAACATGGTTGCATTGTGTTCACTGCTTGCTTTCTGGATGGTTAAACAACTGGCATTCCATCCTGCCTCCTACAGGCCAAAGTAAAAGGAAAAATGATGAGGCATTATTTAGTATAGAGGGTTGAAGCCTTCTTAACAATGAAATATTCAACAGCCTGTCTCAATGATTCAGTATTATCCAGAAGCATGGGAAAAGGAAAGATAGGCACTCAAAAGAATTGAATGATTTGAACTCATATTGACAAATTAATTGACATTCCAGTAAAGGCTTTTAATGAATTAAGTCATAAATGGTAGCCAGCTGTAAAACTGTTGTAACTTCAAAAATGTGTTCTACACAAAAGACACTTGTGGGCTGAGTGTTTTCTGACAGGCATTAGAAAATGAATAAGCATGTGTCTGCAGTGACACAGAAGCCCACAGCTTTATAATAGGCCCTAGTTTTAGTGAAAATGATCTAGTAGGAAGGAGTAGGTGGAACTGAGAGCAGCTGAAAATAGAGAGTATTATTAATGCGTTTGAATGGGAAAAGTGTTTCTCATTGATTGGGTGTGAACCCAATTTTCTGTTCTGCTTTGGAGAACAGCTAACAGTATGTAGCAGCACTTGAGTTTTCTTGAGAGATTTAGCCTGAGGTTTCTTCACACACACAGTTGTAGTTCCTGGTGCATTTACTTTTGAACACTACAAACAAATTAGCTGAATGCTGTATGATGTTGCAAGTGATACCGTGTCCTGTACAGCAGGCCAAAAGTCAGGTCTTTGTTCCATGTCACTATGTGCAACACACAACAGTTCAGCAGGATTGATATGAAAGACCAGAATAGCAGAGGTGTCAGATATAGTGCCTGGGGTGTGTTGACATGATGGTGCAGTAAGAACAAGTAGGACAGGAGCTGCAGAAGTAAAATCGGCAACTTCTGTGCTAGTTTGATTTTGCTTCAACCAGCCAGTCTCATTAAACAGCCTCTCTTTTATAAGCACAGCATTCTCTTCATATACAAGCATCTTTAAAGAGCTTATTTAATTCTTTATGAACACTGGAATATATTGTCCTAAAAATGTGTGTTTCTGTGCAGAAAATCTGAGAAACACAAATTTTGACAATTTGTGCAGGTTTCACTAGGGTGAAATAAATCGGTGAACAAGTTCCTTTGTGCATGATAAAGCCACATCTTGATGAAGAGTGGTTTTTTGTTTGTTTTGTTTTGGGATGTGTTTGGTTGGGTTTTGTTTTTGTTTGGATGGCAATGCCAGAGAGAGGCTACGCGCTTGTTTGGTTTTGGCTGCAGCTGTCCTAGGTGGGAAAGTTGTGAATAATGTCTAATTCAGCTGATTTTGTCTTAGCCTGGAGTGTCAAAATTTAGCTCTTCATTAGAACATTAATGCAGCACACAGTGGAAATGAAAACAGTCTTCGGTAGGGAGCTTCTTACTGCTCTGCATGTGAATTTCCTACCCTGTGTCTGGCATTTTGTTGTCTTTTCCTCTGAGGGATTTTTTTTCTGGTTTGTTTACTTCTTCCCTCCTTCCTTATCTCACAGAGATCTCCTCGTTTTTTTTCTGATGACCAAGTGCCTGAGAATGTTGAACAAAGGGCATGTCAGCTGGCTGCCCTCCTGGAGTCCAGGCCTGCCGTGAGGCATCAGGTGACTACAGCCCTGCCTGTCTGGCATCCTGCATCAGGGGGTGATTCTGGGTACCACTGGCATCTGTGCTCAGAGGGGTGGAAAAATTCACCAGAATACAGGGACCATTGCCTGTACACAATCACATGGCTAAAAAGAAAAGATCACGCTCATTTTGGGTAGTATTTTTTATCATGCTTGCTGGTTTTTAACTCTTTTCTTGAGGAATGAGAATGTTTGTTTCACAAAATAGTATAAATAATAAGGTAAAAAAACAGCCTGCAAGCTTCAGAGTGCATGCTGAAAAGCAGCTGGACCATGGATCAAGTCTTCTCACAGTGGTCATTTACCAGTCAGTTGCTCACCAGATATACTTGCTTCTGGAAGCAAGAACACTTGCATTTTCCAAGCATAACTGCTGGCTCTGAAGTACTACTTCTCCGTCCATATTTCCTGTGTCCTTATTTCCAGCAACAGAGTTGGCAGCTTGTGCAGATTTTCTTTGATTCTACTGTACACTTTTGGTTTGGTTTTGTGTTTAATTCTCCCCTGTTTGTCTTCTCTGGCATAGGGGAGCATGCCAGTTTGAACTGTGCCTTCTTTTGTTTCTTGTTCCTAGCTGTTTTCGGTTACCTTCAACAGCCTTTGGCAATCTGGAGGGTGCCTTTGGAAAACACCATCTACATAAGTGATTAGTTTTTCAGAATTTATGGTTTTGAGTTAACTATCCAAAACCAAGCTGTCTTCTGGAGCAGGAGTATAAACAGTCCCAGAACTTTTGTTGGTGGGCATAACTTTTCCAAGGGATGTCAAAGGAGAATTTATAACAACTAGGTCACTTTAAATTGGTGTTCTTTGGGCATGCAGTCTTTGCTGATTAAAATCAGTGAAGCTATTCTCCAGGAAGGCAGAATGAACCTTTGGCTAGATTTGAAATAGGATGTTGAGGACATAGAAGAAACAATGAAGGACGGGGTAAGAGGACTCATTTAAACATATCATCATCTATTCGTTAATGGGTGACACAACTGGAGATCTCAGTCATGATCCAAGGACAGCATGCTCACATGTATTTCATTACTCAGTTGAAGTAGTGATACAGAATTAACACGGGCCCCAAAACATTTACTTCCTACTTTTTGTGTTGCTCTCTAGTACGTCTAGGCTCTTTTTGAGGATGGAAAAGATTAACAGCATTACACTGCAAGGAAAAAAAGTCTTATTTCTGTATAGTGCAGAATTAAGGATGAGAGAAAATAAAGGGGAGATGTAGAACACAAAGTAGAGAATAGGATAAAGCGGGTCAGGCAGAGAGGAAAAAGAAAACAGATGTTGGAACACTGCAGACAATGATAGATTATGATGTGGGATTTGAGGAAAGAAATCAAGAAAAAGTAGAATAGTAAGAGAGAAAGCCAAGTAAGAAATTTTCAGAAAATCAATTTGGTTAAATGTTGATGATCTTAAGTACAGAAAATTGGTGTATAAAACAAACAGTTACATTTCTGAAATCCCAGCTATTTTACATTTTGCCTAGTAGATTTAATCTTGAAGCTAGCCTATTCTAAATTGCTAGAAATAGCTGTTTTTGTGGGTCAAGCAGCTATATGACATTAAGTTTTCATTTTTATAACCCAAAGCATAATTTTCTTTTTTAAAATTGAAAGTGGGTCAAATATTTGAAATTTACATATTTTTTTTCTTCCAGATAGAAACTGTGCATTCCTATAAATTGCCACCAGCAGTGTCTGATATGTTTAGCTACCAATTTTTTTTTCCTATTTACATTAAGTAGGTTCTTGGGAGATGGGCATTAATGAACTATAGAGATAATGAGGGAGGCCAATTTTGGGGCTCTTCTGTGAAAAAATGGTTTCAGAAGGATGCACATTCTCACTTTGGGATTTGCTGTTTGCCATTTCATAAGTAAATCATTGAAACAGCATTGAACAGCAGATTGCATTTTATTGTTTCATTCTTTTTAGCGTGATGTTTCAAATCTGCTGACATTAAATGTTATGTTGGAAACTTGATGCTGATTACTGGCAACACATACAAGTTAATTTCTTTCTCTTCCACCCCTAAGGAGAGCAGGCTTTTGGTTTATATAGTTAGAATATAGAAGAGGTCTCACTTGGCCTGAAATACGATCGTAGTGTCTTGAGCCAGGAATACAGAATAATGGCAGGTTCGGGAGGAGCAGAGGAAATTGATCTGGGATCTATGCCAGGGGTCTAGTTGGTTGGGTTATAGGAGGCTGGACATCTGTGGAAGTAGGTAACTGGTTCCAAATGATCCTAAATAACTTAAAACCAAATAAAGGGCAAATTAAGAATAACTTACTCTGGCTCACTAGGGAGAAAAAGACCCTTGTGGGATAACTTGGAAAAAATGTCCAGTGCATCTTCTCTGATAATTACTTTTTTCTTGCTCATGGGAAGAAGGGCCTATTTTTGTTCTCACTTTCTCCTGTTTTTCCTTCATAGTCATGTATGATTGCTTTGATTTTTATTTTATTTTTTAGCCTGAGACTGAACCGTCTCGTCGATTCTTTGTTGACCAGTGGGAGCTCTCCCTTAGCCTCCGTTCTTCTAATCGCCCTTCTTCACCTTCATCTGACTCTCTTCGACAGGTAGCATTAGCTTGAGCATTGCAAGGTGCACTCAGCTGTGTCTGCTTGCCCCACCCTGGTCCCATCACCCAGGGACATACCACAAGAGATGGCTAGGCTGGCACTGCTTCACCTGCAGAATGCAATATCTGTGCATATCCATGCACAAATGAGAAACCAGAGGCAGCCTGTCACACAGCTTGGTTATTGTCAACCCTAAACCAGTTTGAAACTAAGTATATTTAACATGTGGTGCAAATGACAAGGCTTCTGGTACATCCCACTCTCAAATCAGACTTTTGAGCACTAATGATCTAGCTTTGGAGTAAAGCTTTCTTGTTTTGCTTGCTGCTTTTCTTGAGAGTTTGGGCCAAACTACAGACTATGTGTGTATATGCTTAACGGATTGTATGAAGCACAAAGTACTTTGGCTTTCTGAAAAATCACTGGGAATTTGAACTAGTTGCAGTTGTCATGTATAAAGCAAACAACAGGAACTTGATTTGACCTAAGCTGAAGTGGGTTCAAAATGTTTCAGAACTTTCTATATCTTGAAGGCATTTGCCCAAGGGAGGAAACACAAAATGTTTCACTGAAAATCCAGTGTTAGGCCAGACGTCATGTATAGTAAAAGAAATATCAGAAACACTGAGCCCGAAATCAAAAATTCAGCAACTAAATTTCTCCCACTAAATAATCCATGGTATTGTGAGTTAGTATTAGCATAGTCACTGTTCAGGCACAAAACTGTATATGTGTTGGTTGAAATTCAAAGATCCTGAAGCACTGGCAATTAAGGTTGGATGAAGGTTTCAAATCAGAACTTGCTCAGTAGAAATACAGTTTCAGCTAAAAGAAAGTTTCTGTTAAAAGCATACGCTTCCCATGGAAGAGCTCTGTAAGAGCAGTGAGTATAAATTGTTTATGGTCAGAAATAAACCTTCTTTATGACAGTGACACAGGTTAATGAATTAGGGCTTTCAGTAATAGCAATGATAATTTCTGATGGCCAAGCACATCGTTTTTAAAACCATTTCTCCCAGAAGTACCCATTCTTCGGTATTTTTTTTTTTGTGATGCATCCTGCTTTTCTCGTGTCTGAACAGGTGAAGGTTATATACATTTCTAAAAGGCTAATAACCACACTCGTGAAATTTATGCTCTTACTAGTTGTGGGAAATAACTAGTGTGCTTCAGACAAGTTCTACTATGGGTAAAGGGGTTTTTGAGATAAGACTCCAGTCTTTTCCTTCAGCTTACTGTTATACCAGAAGCCAGTGTGTCTCTGCTCTTTCACTTGCTTAGGAGACTCCAGCTAGAAACATTCATAATACTTCTTAGTCTGGAAAAGGAAAATTGCTTGGCGTGCTCCTTGCTGCTCTGAGTCAAATACATGGTGTTTGCAGTGTGATTAAGCTAACACGGATATAACCACATAATTTTCTTAACTATGTAATTACTGCTGATGGCTGAAATTATTTCCTGTGAAGAACACTTCCTCCGCTCCTGCAGTGACTGAACTTGGCTTGCAAACACTCATTTTGTACAGTGTAAGGTAACAGCCAACCTGCCTAGATTTCTCAGAATGCTGGAGGGGTTTTCGATATCCAAAGTTTTGGAGACAGTCAATATCCATAATGGAGGAAAGCCTAGTCATAAAGCCATGTTCACAGTTGAACAAATGCGTGTTCCAGGTGTATGCAGGTATGGCTTTAATGCGTTGGATGAGGTTCTTGCCTCTTTTTCCCTGTAAACTTCTATGTATTTTTAGCATTGGAAAAAATTGTATTTTTGAATCACTGTGAGTTCATGGTTTAAGGATTTCTTCCTGCTCTATGAATGCTCTGTAAACGAGTTCTTTCCAATTGCTAAGCATATAAGTATATTGTGCTAAGCTGTTGCAAATGGCAAATGTACTAAATATGTTGCAATCAGCATATTATGTTAGACTCTGTGACATGTCTTCTAAAAAATTTTTGATTGTGATGCCAATTTCACCTGGAATGTAAAATCTTTACCTATATTTGCTTTCATCTTTGAGAAGTGTATACGTTCAGGTTTCCAGGTGCGAAATACCCCACAACCAAAAGTAAGCTCTGCTCTCTTCATCATCTTAGTACTTCTACAGCACATACAGAACGCAAAATGCAAACCTTCTTTTTCATGGTTGCAGTTGATATTGGACTGTTCTAGGGATTACTGATGACACTAGCTTTGCTGTTACTACCTGTCACTTCATATTGTCCACAGTTTTGGCATGATTTCACCTCTCTGCACCTTTTCACCACCTAACCTATTATCTTTTCAGTCATTTTTTAAATTTTTTTTTCTTTTCTCACTTCCCTTTTGTTTCATTCCCTCCATCTGGTAGAAGTACATAAAGATGTACACAGGCGGCGTGAGCTCGTTAGCTGAGCAGATAGCCAATCAGCTTCAAAGGAAAGAGCAACCCAAAACCCTTCTAGACAAGAAGGAACTGGTAAGACGATGCACAGAAGGTGACGTGTTTGTGATTAGATGTTCTGTAGATCCGAAGTATTGTGAGTGTCCAGTTGTTAGCACAGCTGATGGAATCTATAGTAGCTTTTTCAAAGACTTCACCTCCCTTTCTCCATCCCCCCTCACTCTTGTCCTGGTTTTCCTTGCAAAATGTTTGAATTTAATCTCAGTGTCTAAGGATTGTGTATAAACAGTTGAGAAACTGCCGGTCACATTTATGAAGATGTTTTTGGTTCACTGGGGCTACTTCAGCATTATTGTTTTATGGAGGAGATACCAACTTTGATAATGAAGGTCTAAGAACTGCTGTTTGAGGGATTTCTAATGTTTTTGCCTTTCCATCCTATGCCTGCTTCAGTTATTTATTTCAGGGTTGTGTTTAATAGTACTTGTGTTCACTCCTCAATCCAGAGCTTAATTTACTCCTCACATATGTAGGTGTGGTATCCTAGGACTTTCTTCACTGGACTTCAAGGTTAGTTTTTGGTGTCCTGGCTAAAACTGATTTGTGTCAAAGAACTGCAGCACCCATGTGTCAAAGAACAGCAGCATCCAGATGCTCCTGTGTCTGCAAAGATGAGGAGAAGATATGACCACACAATCTTGAGAGAATGGACATGCACAAATTCAGTTATGCCTATTTCTGTCTAGGGCTCACTCAAAAAGGAGTTCCCCCAAAACCTGGGAGGTAGCGATGTCTGTTACTTCTGCCACAAGCGAGTCTACGTGATGGAGAGGCTGAGTGCTGAAGGCAAGTTCTTCCACCGCAGTTGCTTCAAGTGTGAATACTGTGCCACCACTCTGCGATTGTCGTCTTACGCCTATGATATTGAAGATGGTAAGAGAAATTGCTTTTTTGTCAGAATTCTTTTAACCATCTTGGAAGTTTGGTGAGTTAGGGAAGGGAGTAACTTCAGTTCCAAAGACACATACTCTTAGACTGTTGAAACTACATGGATGGATTTACCTAAGAATATAATCAGATATTGTTCTGGTTTCTGGTTAGGTATATGTCAGGAGATCTAACACATTTTGTCATCCAGAAATTGTGCATGTTGAAAATAATGATTTGAAATCACACATCACTTGTGAAAAGCTAACTTTTGTCAAAGAGTAGCAATGTGTTGCATTTGTTGCTTGAACAGGAATTAACAGAAATTTCACATTTTCTGAAGAAAGAATGAAGTAGAAAGTGTCTTAGAGAAACCTTTATGTATATCAACAATAGTGTTTCACAGCTGTCGTTTATCTTTACTCCTATCTCAATAGGAAAACATGTACAAAACGATGTAAAACTAGTGAGATTAGATGGAAAGGATTCTATACCAGAAATGATTGAGTATAAACCAAAATAAGTGTAAAAAAATTCTAGAACTAATCCTTTCCCACATTTATTGAAGCTAAGATGAAGTAAAAATTTCAGTAAGCTGCATGCCATGGAATGGAACTCCAGAATATTCCGTGTAGACTGAGAAGTTATAAAATTGATAGAAATCTTCTGTGGGTAACTGGAATAATTTTTTTGAAGATATTGGGTAGGATAATGCCCATGGAAACATTAGCTAGGCATAAGGAGCAAAAAAGAACCAAAATAATGTATTTATTAATGATGAATTATATAACTGCCTTCAGTAATGGACTTGCTCTGTCACAAAGGATTGAAGAATCAAACCAGTATAGAAGTAAGACATAGAAAACGCATTATTCCCTGGCCAGAAGGCCAGCAGACTTGACTTACGAGTTTAAAGGGGCCAATGATAATTTCGAAGTCAACGTGTAAAAGTAACAGCTTCATCAGTAATCAGAGTTGGGACAAAACATTTTTTAAGCACTGCTGTTATGTAGTGCATTCAGAAGCAATGGAGTACTGGATTAAATGTTTAGCAATAACAGACTGAGCTCTTCTGTCAGCTCTATGGGCTGAAACAGTTTTTGCCACCAGATTTAGTGATTCCCTCTGCCAACAAAGTTACATACATAGCTATGGCCAGATAGTTTCAATGAAGCAAACAGAAAGCTTGGAGTCTCAGCATTGATTCTGAAATGATAACTTAACATGCTTAAGTTTCATATACATATGTATATGAAGAATACATGTCCAAACAGAAATATGTGGTATCCTATCCAGTACAATTGTTGTGAAAATCCAGCTCATATTTCAATCTGGGTTTTCTTTGAGAGAAAAATAACAAGGTATGTGCACATCGCTGTTACTCATCTAGTTCTTTTCACTGAAGAGCATTCAAAGTCTGAGAAATTTTATATTCTGCCTTTCTGTTGTTTCTCTTTTCAGACATTTCCCTCTGAAACAAATTGAATGAGCAGTTTCTGAAAGAGTCAATATTAACAAATATTTATTTAAACATAGACTTCTTGAAAGATAGCATTTTCCATTTTTCTGTCATAAAAAAAAAAAAATCATTAGAAATTACTGTGCTAATACCAGTTCAGAGAAAGTGGGGGAAACAGTGAAAGTCAAAGTATTGAATTGAAATGCAATAGTGAAGTTGTAGGAGTAGGAGGTGACAGCAGAAGGGGATGCTGTGAGCTGCAGACATTGAGCAGGATACAGTAACAAAGTCAGACTGGCAGATAGCTGTGCTAGCACTTTGCTCCTATTGTTATTATTTGTACTGGAGTATCACTAGTGCTGCTTTGGCTTTCTGATAGCATTCAGATAATGGTGAAAACCTATTCAGGCTTCTGGGGTGTTACTAAATCAGTCGTGTCACAAAAGGTTTGTGAAAATTAATTGTTGCTTGATTGTCCTTTCCACAAGTAGCCACTGTGCATTTTCAGAGATGGCTCTTTGGGAGTTAACACCATCCTCTCCCACTTTCCTCTGCTGGTTGTATTCATTCTTGCTTTTTCCAAAAGTGCTTCTGCCAGCTTTTCGTGTGATGATTTCTTTGTTCCCCACACACAGCCGCATTGTTAGCATGTGATACCACACAAGCCTCACAGCTTTGCTTTGCTGTTTGATAGGATATTAAGCTAAATGGCTGTCAGGCACCCAATAGAAAGGAGGCTAACAAGCTAGCTAGAGGAGGGCTAGAGTTAAAACTTCAGATAGTGTTTGTCTCCATGCATACTGATTAAACTAGATGAAGCAAAGGGAAAGGCAACAGGAAATAAGTTGCAGTGAGATAGACATTTATATTGTGTTAAGCTGCTTTGTTTTCATTGTCGACCATCATTTGTATTCTGTCTGCAGGTAAATTCTACTGTAAGCCTCACTACTGTTACCGACTCTCCGGGTATGCTCAAAGGAAGAGGCCAGCAGTGTCAGGAAAGGTAACTCATTACTTTCATCTAAAATGTCAAGTTCATAGGTTTTGATTCTTAACATTGAAAAAGTAAATGTTCTTTTCTATTATCCAGAAGGTAGAAAAATTCAAAATGCATCAAGTTGTTTTGTTATGTCACGATGTCTTGAAGTTCTATAAATTTTACTTAAAAACAGTTTCTGTAATTATCACTTCTCTTTTCATTATTATTATAAAATAACATACTGTTCCATTCAGAATAGTATTTTGATCTGTTTTCTTGTTAAACAGAAATGCTTATTCAGTTCACTTAGAGACTAGAGGAATTCTGTCACTGGTTTTATTTTTCCTTAAGATGAAACATATTATTTGCATTTTCTCTAAAACATGAAGTTCTGACCCATCTGTATGGGCTTTAAAAAAGACCTTTGGTCTTTTTTGAGTGTTTGCTATCTGTTAGTGGGAATCTGTATGGAAAGAAAGGATATCCTTTCTACTACACAACTGTAATGGAAGCATTTGTGCTTTAAACATAGGACCAAGACCTACCGTGTATTACAAAAAACTGTCCCTGCTTTTATCTGTACAATCCAAGGCATGTTAGACTTAATTTGTCTCTTCAATTCAATTTTCAGTATTTTTGTGGTACTCTGTGTGAGCAAGAGTGAGCAAACTACATGGTAGTCGCTCTGCATTCAAGCTCTGTTAAGCTTCCATGACACAACCTATCTTTCTCCCATGAGATTATATTTAACCTCTATGGTGGTGATGGCTGTTGTCTTTCTGTTTCTCGTTTGTTTGTTTTTTTTTAGTACTTGCTAACTTTTGGGATTTATCCCAAAATTTGTGCCAGACTTTATACCAACAAGAAAGACCAAAAGTGAAACTTGTATTATATTCCAGATAAGCAGACTTCAGGAATCTTAATGCTTTGGCCTTCTTGCATATCCAGCTTGTTTTGGGGGGCTTAAATAAAGCAATATATTGAGAGGGAATGTATTTTGTTCAGACCTTGCCTTATGTGACTATTAAGGGGTATTTTAGTTGCAAGAGGCATGTCTTCCTAGTTCAGTGGTTTCAGTACATATAGCTTCATATGAAAAAAGAGCATTTTGGAATTACTTCCAATTTTAATATGAATTTAATCCTCCCCTCCCCCATTCTTACAGGACACCAAAGGACCTCTGCAGGACGCTATGGCAAGTGATGGAAGTGGACGGGCAAATTCCATCTCCGCCTCAGCAGAGAGGGCCCCAGGTAGCTCCGCTTCCTTCTTTAGCAGGGTGGTGCAGTACTCTCTCGTCTTCTTTGACAGAGTTAGGGTGGCAAGCCAGCGCCTGCAAAGCACAGTTTCCTCGATTGGGCACCAGGTAGCCCAGAACCCTTTGGACTCCTTTTTCATGTGTCAGCTGATGGCTTTTGGGGTTCCCTTTCTCTATGTCCAGTCAGAAGTTCTTGTGCAGATCTTAGGGGAATTCTGTGGGCAGTCTGCTGACCAGTAAGATTTAATGTGACCCAACTTAAAAAGCTGTATAACTCGTGTGATTTTTGGGGTGCCATGTGAATTTTGTGCATTATGTGAAAGTCTCAATATATTATTATTTTGCATTGTGGCTTCAAGAGCCTAGATTTTCAGTCCTTTCGAGGACGTTATCTGAAATAGTTCCAGGAAAACACAGATGCACGGTTAGGGGTCTCCTCTGAGTGGGCCCAGATGAAGAGGCTTTGTCTGTAATGTATGTATCTTGATGTTAGTCAAGTTAAAAGTTTTTCTGATACACTGGAATGACTTGCAAACTGGATTTCTGTGTTTGCCTGAAATCTGGGAGTGGTTTCTCATTCTCCCAAGCTTTTCTTCATTAATCTGGTACTTGAATGGGGAAGATCCCATTATCTTGGGACTGTGTCTCCTTTGGAACTCTGGGTATCTGTGACAGCTAATGGGATCGGATTCCTTAAACTTCTTGAGTTTTGTGGTGCTGGCAGGTCATGGTGCTCTTCCCTTACTGCCAGAATCTGTGCTGCTCCTGGCCACGGCTTTGGAAATGGGGTAGTGAATGTGTGTGTCTTACTGTGAAGTATTTTTGCCTTTTAACTTAAAATTCTAATTCCTTCTAACATGGGAGAAGTGTCTCTGCTACAAATGCTCGTTCACCCAGCCCCTAAATGTTTATTTAGTGATGTAAGAGAGATTTGTTTTCTAGTATTGGTTCTAGAATACTATGGAAAAACTAAATCAGATGCTCTTAGAGGGAGAACATCTTTCTAGTAAAACTTTGAGAAAAGAATGTTTTCACAGTGCTAGTTGAGAAAAGATCTTAAAAACATACAGGCGGACAAAAATCATGCTTATGTTTGACTTTAAGTATTATTCTTAGAAGCATTTCTAAGATGGAAACTGAATGCAGTCAGACTGAAATTCATTCTTACTGCGTGCCGTTGATTCTTCAAGTAGTTACTTTCACTCTTTCCTCTGTCATTGGTGTGGAATTTCCATAGGGCAAATGGAGGAAAGAGAAAGCATTGTGAAAAATGACATTTGCAAAATGCCTTGGACAGATGGGATAACTACTCCATTTTTGTACTATTGGCTAGACAATTAAAATTGTTTTCTCTAAAGGTGAAGAGTTTTTTTTTTTTTTAATATATTTTTATTTTTATGTGGAGCATATTCTTTAAGATATATGGAAAAGATATTTCTTGGAGCTATTATTCATAGAGTATCTCATGAGAATAAGGCAGCTCAATGGGATAAAGCTACTGGTGGTGAAAAGTAGAAAAAAAAAAAGCATTTAACTGTATATCAATTAGTTTTTCAATACAATTGCTGTCAAAGTCTCCTTCTTCTGATTTAGTCCTTCCAACTGATCAAATTTAATTACATTTATAAGTGAGCCTTCAGTGAATAGCATCTGAGTGATCACTAAGTAGGACAAAAAATAGGCCGTGGTTTGCTGTACACTGATCAGATCTTTCCATCTCTTCTTATGTAGTAGTGGTACAGGTGGCAGCTGTGGTGGCACAATTACAGGAACGGTGATATTTCCAGAGAAGTAAAATAGAACAGACACTGTTTTATCAAACAGCAAAACTTGAAATCTAGGGCTCCTGTTTGCTTGCTGCTATTCTAAAGCAGTTCCTGACTGTAGCATCATTTGTAATCTTCTGGAGCTTTTAAAGCTTTGTCTTTTGTAGTGCACAAAGTCCAATAGGGCATACTCAGCTGGATGAAGCTAGCTCATCTTTAAAGCAGTGTAATATGTTGCATTCTTGTGTGCATGACAGAAATACCTTTAATGGTAGAAGAGTGAGCTCTGGCTCTGCTGTTCTCCCACTTTCTGCTAGAAAATTGCCATTTGTAGCTGAGATTTAGTTTTCTTTGTGAAGCAGGTTCCAAGTGTATTTTAAAATTTCAGGCTCAACAAGGATTAAGAACCAGGAGGAGTCTAAGTGCAATGTATTTTAAAAGCAAGGTACAGTGTCACTAAAGGCAGGTCAGTTCTCCGTTAGTCAGTTTAACGGTCATGTCCTGTAGGTGCTTATCTTTAGCTCAAGTTCTTGCTGGATAGGCCAGGAAACTGGAAATGTGTTTACAATTCTGTATGGCTTGGGGAAAAAAAAAAAAAAAAGTGAAAAAACACCTCAACTTTTGAATTACAAAGCTTCATGGATACAGTGGAAGAATATGGTACTATCTCTGAGTAATCAAAAGGAATCTGTAAGATCACATCTCTATATCTCTAGTCCTGACTTCAAACTATGTGTGCATAAGCTTTCCTGAAATTTATTAACTTCACTGTGTTAGAAACTGTAGGCATTCTGCTTTTACTGAAGAGTATATTAATGCCTTAAGCAAAAACCTCTATGAATTAGAGATGGAGGCAGAGCTCTTCCAGTGCTCTACTTCAGCCATCTGGTAGATTCACCAATTAACAGGTTGTATATCTGAAACTGTTTGATCTCCTTTCAGGGAAAGTGCTACCGAATGAAATTTGACAGTAGTAATCTCATACCTTGAGGTCTGAGCCAGTCTCAGTAGTGAGGCAGATGTTGATGAGGAGTCTAAGTTGCCTCTAAAGTGAGTAAATAAAATAAAATAAGTAAAACAAAAGTGTAGAATGCATAGGTTTCATTTCTGATGGAAATCTAAAGATATCTTAGAATACAAAAGGAAGGTATACGCAGAAACATCAATTCAACAATATATAAGACAAAAACTTTTCTGTACTTAAATTTTATACCCTCTGAGTTAAATTCAGTCCTGAATTAGCTTGTTCAGTGACCATTATAATGACTTGTAAAAGGCCTGCTTTTTAGGTGCCAAGCTAAATGAATCCCAAGCGAACGCATGGTTTTTCCCCGTACACTCATTATCTCTTTTACTCTGCCACCAAATCTGGTATCTTCCTTTTTAGCCAGCTTAGTAATTAAAATTCATTCAAACACAAAATAACATTCGGCGTATTTGGTCAGCTGAGGTAAGATTGGTCACAACAAGCTGTTGCCGACGGAAGGAAGACCCAGACGCTCAATATGAGTGAACAGTGAACTTCAACTTTAATGGATAGCTCAGTCGCCTTTTATCTAGTTTGAACATAATCAACTCATACATATTGCAGAAACTAAGCTCAGGATTGGTTAACACTTCCCGGGCTTTTCAGTCTGGTCCTCCTTCTTTTGGCTACCTGTCCCACCTTAGGGACTTTCCCGATGGCCCAAGGGCATCGTGTCCTTGAGCCTGATTGGCCCTCAGCCAGCTGCATACGTGCCAAGGCTCATGTGAGTTGAGTACGGTGCTTCACCAGCCCATTGTCTCCCAACTGCTCAACATTCACATGTCCTGCCTCACTTAACGATTCCTCCACAACAAGCACTTTCTTGTGATGTGTTACTAACCTGATTGGCATGTATTAACTTTGCTAAAGACGTCAGTCCCTTGCTGGGTGGCCACAGGCTTGCCTGGCATTAAATGTGTTTCGTCTGTCCCTAGTAATGACTATAGTAGTAGAGTACAACCTGTGACAAGCAAGTTGAGGTTTTCTAGCAGTCAAGTAGAACCACTATTTTTGTGAAAGTCCTGCATGGTTTGCCAGAGAGCCTGCGTGACGTCTTATGTAGTGTTTACAAGGGATGTTTTCAGGGAGGTTATGTCCAAACTGCCTCTTGCAATACTGACTGGGGAAGGGACAACAAGCTTTTGAGTGAGTGATGCCATTCTCTCCTGGGAAGGGAAGTTGGGAAAAGCAGTTACTATGCTTTTGGTCCTGCTGAACTGTGGCATGCTTGTCGTAGATTCTGTAACCCTTCTCTGTATTCTGTCTGCCTGTTTCTCTCTATCTTCTGCGTTTGCCTTTGTTCCAAAGTTGCTGCTATTGCCAAGGGAAAAAAAATGCTTCTCAACTGTCTCGCCCTTTGATAATCTGTAACCACCATGTCTTGGATTTTTTTTTTTTAATATTATTTACGGTACTTTATATGATTTTAATGTGCTTTTAATGCAAATGCTGTTTTTCTATTTGTTCTAAAGGTCTGTAAGAATATATTTTCAAACTTTCAGCTCTTTCTTGACAGATGGACTTGGAACAGTCTTTACCCATATCAGATACATGATAATGCTCCTTGGGGGTGACTTCAGGTGGTGATGTTTTGTTGTAAGATGTTTCCCATTCAAAGCTTGTCTTCTCACAGCAATACATATCTGCCCACTTCAGCAATAGGAATTTCATAAGGAAAAGACCTGCTAGGGAAGCTCATACTTCAAAATATACTGCAATAATATGCAAGTCATGAGGTCTTTGCAGTACTTACTTGACCCGTGACAGACTAAAGAAACCAATTATAAGCCATAGTATGCAAAACTGAAAATTTAAGTACAAAGTAGAGGCATTAGGTCTCCTGCTTTACAAACACAAAAATATATAGTATATATGATACAGGTGTGCAATATGTAAAGAATATTAAAAGTTTAAAAAAAAAAAAAATCTTCTATGGGTGTGCCTTAAAAGTTTTCAGCAATGTTATGAGCAAATCCTTTATGGCAGACCCTTAAACATGTAATCTGCTGTGTATAGTGAGCAAAGGTGGACTTTACAAGGGGAAGTTCTTTTGCTGACTTGGAGAGCTAGAAAACGGTGAATGCTTCCTGTAAATGGTATACCCTATAAAGTAAGTTAACTGAGCCACATTTTCAAAAGGATCTTAAAACTGTGATTTTCACAGTCTTTATGAATGCATACAGTAATATTTGCACACACTTC